AAACAGAACACTTACTTAACAGATTCAAATTCAGTTATGTTCTTAGATCAATAAGTGCGCTCAAATGCGTCTTTCTTGGCAAGTACTCATGTTCAGAATACATCAGTACTGGTCGAATGGCTGTCAAATATATACGGATCTTCAGACAGCTACTTTTATAATCGCAATTCAAAACCTAATTTAGCTTTTCTGACTTTTTCCTGAACATCAGCTTACATTATTAGTGTTTATCGATCCAAGAGAGAAGAAATTAGTGACATAATACATATCTTGCCCCGTAAATTTTCATGATGTTGAGATCCTCTGGGGAAAATTGTAAAGAAAGAAATTTGCATTTCGATGGCTTAAGACTCAGCCCGTAACAAACGCTGGCTGCTTCTACTGCGACAACGCCTTCTGAAGTTTAACTGAGTTCCTTGTAACGATCATGATATCGTCCAGATCTTGTAACCTGCGTCCTGATGGATGGGGCATCACATGTCTACCAAATTTCGTAACTATCTCTATCATCACGCGCCGAGGCAGCAACTGAGCAGCATCGGTCCGGTGCCCGACTCTTACCCCACTCCACGCTCAATCGAAAATCTGTCTGAGACCGCTAAACGTGTACACACAAACGTCATTGTCACGTTGCAGATGATTTTCAAGATTTTTACAACTTTTCTAGCACTCTATCATCTTTTAACAACTGATTCAGAGTTCCGTGGTCGCGAATTAAAAGCGGGTCGGCCGATATGGAGCTATTTACAAAATCATCTGTGCATTTCCAGCAAAAGGCGCAATGTTAGAACATAGTCAGAGGTCGATCAACCCGGTCGAAAGCCGTTTTATTCTTCTCCGGAACAATTCTCTCTGTAAGGTCGAACTCTCCTGACGACAATTCTTCAGTGACATCGCAGAAGAGCCTAATTACTCTGCAATTCCGGGAATCAGAAACACAATCTATTTTGTGTAACAGAATAATCACTGTTTGACGGTGTTTTTCTAGTACTGTCTCTGTTCACTAAAAAACCTCATGCATGATTAGCAGGTGCCACGTGCAGTCTGGTCCTAAACATGTTTGAACAGCTCTACGTGGGCTTTACCTGGATCAGCTGTTTTGTCATTACGCCTTTTTCGGGAGCATTTATAATCTCTTCACCGGATGGTACATCAACGCTGCAGTCATAATCAGGCGTCTTGCTTCGCTGGAAGGAAAGCGATAGAGCAACTGATCTGAGAAAACTCATCAGATGCCGGAAACGTTTCGATCGCTTGGCACATTTAGGTCCTATGAGCATGCGCGGTCCATCCTTCGAACTAATGAAAGACGGGCTTGTGTTATTTCTACTGCCGTACGGTCGAATCATCCAAAGCTGCTATATCTGAACACTTCTTCCATAACAGGAGCTAATTGTAGTTACAATGCGTTTCTTTCTTTAGTTACATGGCTCTTCAGTTTGGTTTCTTTCGCTTGCGCCAGTGCTTGCTCCTGTCTGACTCTTTTCCGTTCAATAATTAGCATCTTAGCACATACTCTCACAGATTGACAGGTATGTTCTCTCTGGAGCACTGGGACATTTCTATTATAGACAGTAAGTGGCAATTGGCGAAATCAGTGTACATCGCATGCAAATGTCAGTCCAGTGCCTGACTGAACGCCATTGAAAATTTTCTACTGACATCTGGAGTTTCCTGTAACGATGCAACATCAAGCATTTCAAACTTCTGGCACTACCACACAGCACCATCTCTACGGCAATGGGAACACGATCGGCCAGACAGGAGTATGTCTGATGTTTTCTTGACGACCTGCTTCCAAAGTCGCTTATGAGTATGTAGTCCGGATGCAGTTGGTCCACCCACGTTCTTTCCTAGCCCAGTAGACCAACGCTGCAGGCCTTGACATGTTTGTGTCTGTGAGCATCCATACATGTTCACTGATTGATTTTGCCGACAAGTACCATTTCCTTAATGCGACTGGATTCTACTGAAAACATTACAAGATCGTTCAACAGTATGACATACAGTAATTAGAGCTTATCGTGAAATGCTTTCTTTTCTTGTTCATCTGAGGAGTTCGTAGGCGCGTCGACGGACATAGTCTACGTTTGTCTGAACGATATCGAGACCTTAATTTAGCATAATCTAAAGTTAACTGCCCCCCCCCCCCAATTTTCTAAGCATCTTCATAGTCTGAGCGCACTGCGATTTCGCAACCACATGTTCATTCGTCGATCCGAATAAAAAATAATCTGCCTGGCCATCTTTAGATCATCTTCGTGTCTTTATCTTTACCTAATCGCGTCTCGTTGAGGAATGCTGTGAGTGCATTACAATTGTTCGAAGTTCTGGTAAAGGCGACAATTCAAAGTGACAATTTGCAGTCTCTTCCGTAGTCAAAGCAAACTCTGCAATGGTCCTGAAAAGGACCTATGAATTTGGACAGGTAGATGGCTTAAAGTGACAATATTTGCGCGTCTGGAAAAGTCGCAGGTGTGCGGCTCAGCTACCCTATATGCATGTTAACATCTGCTCTTCTGAATCACGTTTGGATATCTTGTATCAAAATGCGAATCCAGTAGATATACAAAGGAGGTTTAAAAATACTCAGAAATAGATAACTTAAATAATAAAGTCAACTGGAAGAACGGTGCAATGATGAACAGATAATATCTGAAAACATACTGATTCTATTTTTAGGCATTCAAGTGAACAAGGGCAAAACAATGAAAATGTGTAACAGGAGGTTC